CGACTCAGGTGTAGATTGACTACAAGTGCTACCAAGTGTAGCGGGGCTGCCGTAGCTTTGCGCTTTGAGGAAGCGTAAGTTCGGCCACCGACCTCTCGTTCCGTACTCAGAACCAGTACGAGTTTAGCGGATCGCAATCCGCTTACTCCAAGAGTAATTATAGCCTTAACCCAAGGCTAATTAGCTCTTTCGTTCAGATTCAAAACTGACTTGATTTATTTTTATCGGTAGCAAAAAAGCGCCTAATTTTAAATGCGTAGATTTTTCTTAATATGCATAGTAAAATCCAAATACATGTATAACTACTGGCTTTCCAGCCAGTTCCCGTGCCAAATTTTTGTTTGGGTGTGGTCACACCATGCCCATCTGGTGTGACGCACACACCTGCTAACATGGTGTGTGTGACCCCGTTAAATAACCCGTTACAATGAACAAAATTCTTAGATACTTCGGGGTTGTTGCGGACAACAACCTGCCCTCTTTTCCTCCACCTTAGCTGGCGATCAACTCCAGTAACTTCATCACTGCTAGTCCTCCTTAACCAGATATTAAAGATACCAGCCCTTGTAAGAATTTCAATTAATCATCCACCAATTCCTACACGCGCAAGTTCAGTCACTTCGCGATTTCTGACGGATAGCTACGACACGTCCGAGATACGACGAATCACATTAGATAAGTTCATTGTTATTAGGTAGCATGAGGATTTTGTCTACACTATCGTCAGGGTCCCAGTGACGTGATGTCCTTCTGTATAATCGCCGACATACATCAGCGAATAAGTCACCTGTGTTCCCTGCGTTGAAGAACGCTGAGACCTGTGAAAGTGTTTCTTGCTTGCTTAAATATCATTTGATAAAGCAGCAATTTACTCAAATTCATTCGTATCTCATTTAAGATATAATTAATCCCATCTAAGCCCATGGCCGTCTAATAGAGGTGCGCAAGCCTTTGCAGCGATCAATGTGGTTCAGATGCAGTGGCAGCCTTGACACTATACAGTCAGGTGACATTCGGTCGACGGATAAACACTGGAACTGAAGGATCTGTCTTTTACCTTGCCATGCTAATCGTCCTGTCCATAACATTACGTGAAATTGTTTGCTAATTTTGCAGATTTGTACATGTAAGCCTAGCAATTTCTCAACAAGCCCTTTCTAAGCCCTAAAGAATACCCAGAGAGCGATTTACAAACATACTGTAGGACTCCTTTTTCTACATCTTGATATGTTGTAATACTGTAAGGGTGAGTCGGATGGTTATCTAACATCAACCTGATTCGATCTGTGGTTCTGTGTTCTTCTGTACTTAATCCTTATACATTATATATTTCCAGAGGACATGCTCGAAAAGTGGATGCTGCTTTTTTATGAGTGGCGGCCCGTGGACTTTTCGTCCTGGGTTAGAAATATGGTAGAACAGCACTGGACAGACTTTGGTCTTAAATCAAATGCATTGTATTATAGGTCTGTGTAAATTGGGCCCTTCAAACCAGGACTTTATTGTTTGTATAGCTAATCTATCATGATTATTTATAATAGAGACATTCGCGCTTCAACCGCACGAACACGCGTTTCGCACTAGAGCAACAACAGCATTTATAGTAATACCATCCGGTCAAAACGTCCGCCGCTCGTTCTGTTACTTATGCGTCAGATTTTTGAAAAAATATTGACGAATTCTGAAATCTGCATCGGCCTTTTGAAAACGTCGCACATAACACAAAAGACCCTGGACCGCGTCAGCAGCTAAGCATTCGTAATTCAGGAAGAATTCTAACTTGATGGAAATGTCTTTTCAACGTGTACCCAAGCTGCATGACGAAGTGTCGGCGCTTCGTTGGTTATTTCCGTCCCAGTACGAGCGCGATTGGGTGCGTCATAGATGCACTGCTACATATAATGGTCTTGTCGCTAATATACGTGATTTGGTAGTTCATTACTTGGGAGCCAAATTTCTGCAAGGAGTCACTACCCATGGCTGTCATGCTTTGTGTTGTGTACTGTGCCATGTGCTTTCTCGGACGTCGCATCATGCGTGATATTAAACCATTCGATCTCAAAGTGTATGTGTGCTGCTTAGCCGGCTCTCGTTCATGGAATTGTGTGCCAATGGACAACAACATTGCTCATTTATCCTGCTGTAATTTAGTCCGCTGGCCCTCTGGAATCTCGGGCTGGCCACTTTTAGCGCTATCGGTGCAAGCCGGACAGTACCATTTCTGATTAACACAGTTTACCGCCGCGGTGTTTACCATTCAGTATGCGCACCACCGACTCCACACTATGGCCACGGCCCTGTGGCGCTATGGGTGATGCTTTTCATCTTCTCCAAGGTTCCTGAGCTCCTAGATACTGCTTTTATTGTCTTGCGGAAGAAGCCGCTCATTTTTCTGCATTGGTACCATCACGTGACTGTGTTGCTCTTTTGCTGGCATGCCTTTGGCACACGCTCGGCTAGGTAAGTGACCTCGGGCATAATATCCAATTTTGCTGGCGTTATAAAATCTTCACCCAATTAATACTTGCATATGTGTTCTTACTTGTCGTGTGAATTGCACAGTGGTATCTATTTCGTGGCCATGAACTACTCGGTGCATGCTATCATGTATTTTTACTATTTTCTCACGGCATGCGGCTACCGACCGCGTTGGGCGCGGCTTGTGACAATTTTCCAGCTGAGTCAGATGGGCATTGGCGTTGCTGTGTGCGGTCTTAACGTCTACTACATGAAGCAGGGAGTCGCATGCAGTGTGGACCCCGAGAATCTCAAGTGGGCCATCATCATGTACTCGAGCTACTTTGCGCTTTTTCTTAAATTCTTCATTGAGCGCTACTTGTTCAGTACTAAAAAGCCAGCTACCATAGTAGCGAAAAAGACTCAATAAGACATGGGGTTAGGATTGAACTTAAGTAGCGATACAGTAATAAGTTTTGATTGTCTATGTATAGTAATATTTACGACATCACCTTAGTGATGACCTGGTTCAGATTTGAAAATCGCTCATCTCTCACAAAAACCAAGCAGAAAACTATATATTTTATACAATATGAGTACGCCGGAAGCACACATCAAGCTCGTGGATCGAAATGAGGATACGTACTATGGACGAGTACGCAAGACTTTTTACATGCTGGACTTTCGAACAGCCTTTACGACGGAGCACGCTTTAAAAAATGCACAGCAGCTAGTGGAGGCTCACCAACGCGGTGACTTTGTCGAACCGGCTGATCTTGAGCACGCACAGAACGTAACGCACGCTATCTTGCACCCCGACACAGGAACACCAGTCTTCATGCCACTGCGTGCTTCCATGATTGTGCCTATGAATATGATCATGGACGGCGCCATGCTGCTGGCGAACAGTACCAAAACAACCATTTTGGCGCAGTGGCTCAATCAGACCTACAACGCTTTGCACTACTACGCCAATCGCAATGCCTCAAACGAAGACACAACTGAACAGCGGCTAGTTGCATACATTGGCGCCACAGCCAGCTCTGTGGGGGCATCGCTTGGAATTCGCCAACTAGCAAAACAAATGACAAATGTGAAATGGGCTCCAGTCGTTGCTCGCTTGGGACCGTTTGCTGCAGTTGCTGCTGCAGATCTTCTCAACATGGCAGTCATGAGACAAAGCGAGTATCTAAAAGGTGTTCACGTTTACGACGAAAATGGGGATCACGTCGGCAAATCCAAAAGATGTGGTGCATTAGCGGTCGCCTCATGCACTGCTGGGAGAATATTCGCAGCAGCTCCGATCTTGATCCTCCCACCGCTGCTAATGTCACGATTAAATACCCACAGCACTATTTTCACGCGACCTAAAACGAAGTGGCTGCGTGTGCCAACACTATTGGGATTCGTTGGCTGCGCTATTCAGTTTTCGGTGCCTCTGACATTCGGACTGTTTCGCCAAACAGCGCAAGTTGATATAAAATACCTTGAGCCGGACCTGCAGCATGCAATCCGCAAGCTGGATGGACAACCTGTGCGCACTGTTACATACAATAAGGGTATATGAGAAGCAAGATGATTAACTTGCCATGTTCATAAGAAATAGAAAAAATAGAGAATAGTAGACAACTACAGATTGCTCAATGTCGCTAAAGGACCAAATTAGATGTGACCTCCTAGGATAGATAGCCATATGATCAAAGAAACACGTTGTTAACACTAACAAATAATCATGGAGGCCGGTGAAGCTGTTATTGATAATGGAGCGACTGCATTGTTCAACCAGCAATTTAATTACCAAAAGCTGGAAGCGATGGCAGCGCGCGTATCTCAATTACAAAACGAAGACGCAGAGTTGCGTGCGAGGAATGACAAACGCGAGCGAGAAACGCACGAATTTGTAGCCTATTTCCAGAAGGAGATTTTGACACGAGATACGCAAATCGCGAAATTGAGCGAAGAGCTCGCTGCAACACGCTTGAGTCATGCACTTGCATTAGAACAAATGCGAGTTGCCCGCGATACTGAGCATGAGCAATTGGTTCAGCAAACCCTTGCAAAGGAAGACTCAGCACTGAATGAAATTACGGAACTTCGAGAAAAACTTAACCAGCTGAAGCTGTTTCAAGAAATGAAAGATACTTTTGTCTCTAAGATTAAAGACCTCGAAACGCAATTAACATTTGAAAGAGAGCAAGCTCGCGAAGCGTTGGGTGCACTGGAGCGAAAATCTCTTGAGGAAAAAGCTCGCATGCAAAAAGATCATGAAAGAAAGATTGACAGCGTCAAGCGTCAAGCTAAAGAGGATGCTCGCAATGGGCTAAATGCTGATACGCGCAAAATTGTGACGGATCACAAGCGCATTTGCGAGGAATTACGATTTCAATTACAAATGACTGATGAACTTCATCGTGAGAAGCAACAATTTGAAGCTCGTGCAAAGGATTTAAACATGGAATTGCAAATTCACGTAGATAAGGAAACAGAATTTGCAAAACAGGCTCAGCGACAAGCTAGAGAGCTCACACGATTAAGGAGCAGTCTCCGAGAAGCTGAACAAAAACTTGGTGATGGCCTAGCTGCAGCTTCTTGGGATGCCCATGCCAATGTTACTCGCTATGAGCGTGAGCGTGAGGATATGTTATTGGATGTAGAAGGTCTTCGAAAGTTATTGCGTCTTAAGAACCGCGAGCTGCGAAATTTGAGGCGACTTGCGCAAACGATTTTAAATCAGCGCACAGATGTCGAACAATTTTGCTTGGACTCGCTGGAGCATGTTAAGAACGAAATTGAACGAGAACGTAAAAAAAAGCACAAACGCGAGGTTGAAAAGTACCACTATGATCTGGAATGTGCGAATGGCACTAAGCCAAGCTTAAGGTTTCCGAAGCTGATATCTCCAACCAGTTATCAAAATTCGGGTCCGCCTCAACATTTCACCGAAAAGGTGGACTTACGTCAACTGAGCTGGATCGATAGAGAGAGGGTGCTTCGTCTTTTGTTTGCCAAGATTAATCGATCTCAAGGCTTCATTGATATACAGGGTGATACACCTTCAGAAATTTTCGAGACATCTGTCAAGAGTTCACCTAGTCCGAACCAGAAGGAAAAACAGCGAAGCACAAATGTATACTTTGCGACAGAGCCTCAAACCAGACATAAAGGTCGGGCTACAACAGATGAAAACTCAGTAGGTGAAGATGCGCTGAGTATGTCATTAAGTGGAATGCCTTATGTACCACGTGCGCCGACTCGTATACATCAAGGTGGATAGACGTCGTATATTCCAAGTTTTACATGATTATTGCAATTCTATACTGTACCATCGTAATAACATTCTTTAAAGTCCCATAGAATAGTTTGGATCTCGTTCGTAGTAATATTTGTTCCTTGCGTCGCTATTGTTATCATCCAGAAACTGACATGGTGATGGCCCCAGTCCATCGTCTGAGTCATAACGTAGCGGATCCTGAAAGAGATCACCGCCATGTATCCACCTCTGGCTTTCATGCTCGACATTTCGCTCAAAGCCGACCATGTCTTCAAGTTGAGTTCCGTAAGAATTGTAAGCACTATCTCCAAGTGGGCTTGCGGTCAGAAGTTTGCCCCCGCCCGTATTAATGATGTGAAAAATACCGTAGTCAGGTAGCTTTTGCGACGCTGACCCATGCTTTGGAGCTATCACGACAGTATAATTCATTACTGATTCTTCATCTAGCACCAAAAGAATTGTGGAACTTACCTCCCACTCCTCCAGCCTTTGAAGAGATCAAGCAAAGCAGTAAAACTGTAGGTAGAAACTCCCAAAAGCAGAAAAATACAAAGTAGTCGGCTGTCGTCACGCGACCATTCATGTCTAAATTGTTCCAGATGCTGAGAAACCAGCTCTGAGACGTTGCCAAATCCCGAATTCCTCGTGTGAAGAAGATAATGCTCAAGAGAGAATTGATCACGGTCAGGCTCTGTAAAACACATGAGTCATAGGTATTACTGACATACAAATTCCATCTTGCCCCAATAAAATCCCATGATCACATACCCGTGGCTTGGAAATCAGTAATCGCCTGCGTTTCCAACTCTCCACCTATGTAAAATAGTTCCATACGTTAAAGTTATTAGTTGATACTTCTCCAATTCTCTAGATCAGACACCTACATTTGCCATTTTCCAACCAAAATAGCCAAACAGCACACTCAGAAGGGTAAAGGAGATTGCTGAGTATTTCAGCTGCACACTGACGTCAGATACTTGAGAAAATTCTTGATCGTACTCGTCTCCTTCTCGTGCTGCCTTTGAAATGTCGTTGGACGAATTAAAAGCCCAAACAACAGTGAAGGTGGTCATGGTCATAGTCAGCAACAGATATAGCGGCAGACAGACATTGCGCCACTTGGATCGCCAACCTGGACCCGTAAGTACTTGGATATAGAACAAGATCAATAACGAAAAGTTAGCAAATTGGATGGGTGTCGGCGACCAGTATAGCAAATACAGCGCTAGGTAGCGCATGCTGGACTGTGTCGACATGATGATCCAGTAAGCGGCGCGCACACCCGTCCACAGCAGACATAACACATAAAATCCTGTGGACCAGGCCAATAGCTTGTTCTTGTTTCGTACCGCTGCTAGTAGACGCGTCAATAGGAATAGCGCCAACAGCAAACACATCCCTGTAAGAAGCAGTGTGTAAACGGTCGGCTCGTACGTGCTGCTACTGCTCTCATTGGCACTGGAGAACATTGTACTTGAAAAGCGTCTTTGCTAAGTTATGGACAAGCAATTTAAAGAGATGTGACAAATCGAGAGGCTATAAAACGGGAGGCGGTACAGGCGCCGCGCACGGCGGCAGACCAGGCCGGCAACGTCTTACTGTTTTAATGTTCTGATTAAAAGGGCTTATGGATACATAACAGAGCGGTATAACGATCCACTTTTGCGTTGTCATTCCAGTAATAATAGATGAAAGTCAGAATGATGAAGACTGTAGTATGGACCTATGCTACTTGCGGCTACAATTATAGTGCCGCAAGATATCAAGCAGTGGGCGCAATCTCTTACGTGTGTCCAGATCTTCAGTCGCTTCTTCAAGATAGTCATCTGTTTAAGAAAAGATAAGCTATTCGATAGCTTGTAATTCCTAAAGAAGATACACTGACCATAAAGCGACATAAGGGCTGACTCAGCCTCGGGTGAATCGACGTAACAATCGTCATGAGAATCAAAGTCCTCTGTACTGCAAATGAGGGCAAGTACTTCAGCACCCACGCCAATATCAGCAACCTTGAAATACGAACAGAAGGCTTATCAATGACTGATAAGACACATCGTAACGCAAGCCTCACGTACATTTAAAATATTAATGTGAGTGCTCAAATGCATAGTCAGCAGCGAAAAAATGCGCTTCTCAGCAAATAGCGACATAACACTGAGACCATAGAAGATAAAGAAATAATACTATAAGTTCTATTGCGCATGACGTTGCTTCAATAAATTCACACACCTCGATTCATCGATTGAGTCTAACTGTTTGCAAAGTCCAAGCAGAAAATATATTACTGAAACTTCTTGGCAATTGTCTATCTTCTTGTTTGGTAGATACTGCTCGACGAGGGATATAAATGTTAGATAAAGATCCTATAAAAACCTAAAAGTATACTTACGCCTGGGTGCTCAAGGCAATAAATCAATACATCATGAATATACTCTATCAGCATAGGGATATCAGTGGTCTACAATTCATTATAAGCTTATGACACTTGAGATAGCATTTTAAGCATATGGCTTCCCACCTGTACTGCCTCAGCATGAAGCCATGCATTTTTAAGAGTCAGACCCATCCCATGCTCAAATTTTTCCAATATTGTCATTGTCTCGGTCTGTTTGATCAATACCAGATTTCATTAAGTCTCTTCGTAAAGAAGACATCCCAACCAAATGAGCCTAACCTTAACAGGACCACGCTCAATCATTCGCTTAAGATAATTGTTAAATTCGATGAGATTACGTAGACACCTAAAACACACATTTCTCAGTCATTATCAACACTGCACTCGTTGTCTAAAAATCTTACAAATTCAGCTTGCCATCTTCAAGAATGTAACTATATTTACAGAAAGCTCAATCAGCGCATATCAAACGCAGCCATCAACTAGTCACTCACCGCAAGGCAAGTTCTTCGCACTCCCAAAGCGTGGCATCTTGCTTTTTGGGAAGTTGTCGCTCCATCTCGGTAATGTGGCCAATGCGACCAATTTGCTCAGCCATTCGGATCCATTCGTCGGAGAGCACAGGATAGTCGGCCATAAAGCGCACATGATTGCGCAGATCGGTAGTCAGCTTAGCTGAAAGCTCTCCAAAGCTATCAGATGTCTCTTTCTTGGGTGCGTAGTGTAATTTTCTCGACATGCTGCACTTCGGATGGTTATTCTGATTGGCGAGTGTAAGCGTCTTGTGGCAATTCCAGTTAGCTGTTGAGCTGCTATTCATAGCCGGCGCATTTATAATATTTGTTGCAGCTTAGAGTAGTAAGATGAGTTTCTAAAGTTACAGGTTATTTTTGACATTCTGCCAACATCGCTGTTTATGCCATGCTCTCGGCCTTTGAAGCTACAGAGACGGCGATTCTCACTCGTAAACACACCTTACTATGTGATAATGCTCTAAAGACATTGTATTACAATGCACGTTTTCATAATTCCGGCTGATAACATATATGGCTATTATTTATAGTACGTTGTTGAGTACCGTGATTTTGATCAACGTGGCCACATTTACACATATACACATATACAGACATATACTTGTTCTGGATTTAATATTGTATATGATGAACCGTAATTCGAATTTACTATTGAAGATACAGTTGTAACTCATATCTAGGTAGCTCATAACCTTGTATAACTAATAAAAGTTGACTTATTTGAATGTAAGCCAAGTACTAACTCATAACTGGTAAAATAGTAGGTTACCCGAGTATATAGCGCTTTTTTCCGTCATATGATTAAATTGCGACGTTAGGCACTGCATTAATTTACATAGTTTACGAACATGAATTTTGTTGATGTAGAAGACAATGAAGTGCCAAACAATCATGCTGGAGTAATTTGAAACCAGCCACGAACTGATGGTAGTCGGACTGTCACCGTCATTTAAAAAAAAAATCTGCATTTCTCGAATGCGCCTGAGTACCACTCTATCTATAAGATTCGTCATATCCAGCAGTGAAGCAGTAATTGCTAGGCTCTCTAGCTTTTCAAGATCCGCTGTCCCGCATCTAAGTTTTCTTGGTCATTCTCCTTCCGCCTTCTGAACAAATGCTGTAATCTCGTCGTCTTCCATCACTGGGCTCAAAATTTCTTTAATAGGCATGGGACTATAAAGAGGAAGCCTTTGGACAGCTTCGCACAGGTCGATTCCAATGTATCACTCCTCCAAATTGGGCCCGATATTTGAGGAGGCCATGCAAAGAGCCAAGTGTGGCGAAAATAATCAGCCACGGTAGCTACTGATTTCTTCTCCCAAGCTACTTTGCTCCATTCCATTGCGGTTAGCTGATCGATCTTATACATCTCGATCGTCACAATCAACAGTATTTTGAAGAAGATAACGTCTGTAATGTCGCTTGAACGCGGAGATTACCCCAGCATCCGTGGGCTGGATCTTAGACGTGCAGTTTGGAGGAAGAAAGACCTCCTCGACACAATTCACCTCATGATCGTCGACTGTTTGAAAAGTGGCGTGTTATAGTAAAAAGAAGGATCTGCCTATCTTTGGCCATAAAAGAACAGTGACAGGAATAGTTAAGAGCAGATCTTAAGCGTTTACATATTAGACCTTCATGTCGTTGTCAAGCCTTTTAAACCACTCCTGGAACAGGGCGCCGGTCATGCACTCTTTCTTATTGCTGCGTTATAAAAACCCAGTTGCCCTTCTGTCTTACGATTGAAACAGCAAAGCTTATTGGTCTTTCCAACGAACAATGGCTTGACGAAAAGCTGCGAAAAATGTATTACTTTGTTCACCCTAGACCACAAGTACCTGTCTTTGTGTAAAAATATAAAAAACACCTACTGTTCAAGCCGTGACAGCTTTGTGCCCATGCCAATAGCGTTTCTGCTTTCCAGCAGATGGGTTTGTGACTGACCAAAGCTCGGGAATTTCCGCGACCGGATTATTTTGATGCTTATTTGAGCTTTGGGTTTCTGAGGCTCAGCAGGCATACAGTATCTGCGCCTGGTATTCTGAATACCTCCGCGTGTTTTCTCAGCGTTTTTGTAGTACTGCATCGCACGATGCTTCTGAATATATCACAATCTTTCTTAGCTTCAGCAAGTTTAACGCCTAGTTGGCTCAGACCAAACTCAACATACCTGGACTATAGGCTCCATCTAAGGGTTGTTTAATATTGGCCTCGACATGCACGAGGTAAGAAATCGATTATTCCGCGCACTTGCCTTGCGCCAAAAATTCTCTGTGTATCGGTCCTGCATGGGTTATCATCCCTTTATACATCTCCTCCGAGAAAAGGGATGATACACAGGGCGCAAATTGTAACGGGGTTCCCGTACATTGGTATGAAGGGTGTAGGTCACACAAGATGGTTTATACAATGGTGTAGCTACACTTTAACAACAAGTCAGTACGTGGCTGGACTGCCAGTAGTTATACAATTTAATTAGATTTTACTATTATATTAGGAAAACCTATAGATTTAGATATAGGTGGCTTTGCCGCAAAAACCACAAGAAAAACAGTTACGTTCGAAAACGGAAAAATTAATTAGCGTTGGGTTTATGTTGTGATTTCTCTTGGTGCGATCCGCTACACTCGTACTAATTTTAAGTATAGAACTAAAGTCGCCGACCGTAACCAAGCTTCCTCTACGAACGAGCTACGGCAACCCCGCTGCACTTGTTAGCAATCGTAGTCTATCTACACCTAAGTCGTTATGAATGACCCTCTGTGAAGATAAAGCAGCCCGCTTATTTTCCCCAGGGCATGCAAGACGAGCTTAAAAAACTGATGTCTTTTCTTGGTCCTGTGGGCGTGCAACACCTCACTTCGCAGGAACCTGAAGCAATCAGCGCGCGCTTAGAGGCGTTTTTCAAGCTACAGAAAAGCCCTGCTAGCGCACCTACAGCATAAGATGTCAGCGTCGCCTGCGTCCATGACGCCACCGTTGACGACGGATGACCCCCCCCGACTCAAGCCGCTTATGGTGAGTGTTGAGACCTTCGAGGACAAGGATGGAGAGAATCTCCTACTCTGGATGAGAGAGGCCGATATGGATCTGACATGCTCCAGACCGAGCAACTGCGCGAGGCGATAGCTATCTGAAAGCTCAGCAGTCGAGCGCGAAAATGGGCACTGACGTGCGGCACTTCGGTCGAAGCTACGTTTTCCTCCTGGACGGAGCTGAAGCTGCACCTTTCACGATTGGTCTCGCCGCCTAACCAGGAATTTCTCATGCGATTGCGTTTATTTTGCTACTCGACAGGGCAAGAAGGAAATGGTGGACTTTGCCCAAGAGTTGCGTACTCTCATTGCCGGTATGGTAGCCAATCCTCTTCCCGAGGTGGTCCCAGTGACCGTTTCTATGGAGCCTTAGCATTGGCGTGACCAGGATGGAAGTCTTCCGTGTGCACTCGTCTTTTTTTGCAGTGAATGTGGCACTGAATGCCGAATTCAACTTTAAGTCGGCACGACTTGGTTGGAATGCACACTCTAGCAGCTCGTCGGAAGGGCCTGAGCCGATGGATCTCAGCTATGCTGAGGACAAGGATGCAAAGCTCCGAGCTGCCCAGCAGCGTTCGAACAACCAACGGTGGTTTGTCTGTGGAGACACCCATCACCTTCAGATTGATCTTCCCTCTTGTATGGAGCGCAGAAAATCATCAAAACGACGTCCGGCTTCTTACCAGTTTTTTTTTGTCGCGGGGAATCGCCAACACCCAGTAGGCCGTCCCGCGCCTACTGAAAAAAACTGGGTTCTACTGAGCCTCAAGGAGGTAGAAATGAGCAGGGCCCAGCCCAGAAGAGCTCTTTGCTCTAGAACACGGAGCCTGTATGCACGCCGGACTTGCTGGTCGTGGAAGCGACCAAGAAGGGCTTTGAGAAGCCATGAAAGACTTCGGGGCATCGGGCAATTATGCTCTACGCTCCACGATAGAAGGGAGTCAGCTGTATGCTGTATGCTGAGGCACTGACGGCGCGGTTGAGTGACATCGTCACTGTTCGCTTAGCGACGGGGACATGTGTCACGGTGCCGAAGATTCCTGTGGGCCTCGGTGTCAAGTTTTCTTTACTGTGATAGCGTGGAACGCTGCTTAGTCTTAGACTTGGAATCAAGGTACGACCTCATTCTTGGTATGGCATAGTTAGAGCACCATGAGCCATGAATCGACTGGAGGTCGAAAACCTTTGGCGCTATTGAGCTTTTCAGAGTCATGAATCCACTCTAATAGTAGAAAAAACGCTATTGGCGCGAACACTGGACCGAGATGGTCAATATGCTAGAGATCTGAGTATCCGAGTTAATGAACACCGAAGGTGTATCGTGCAGGGGTCTCGATGATGGCTCGCGGGCCGAACGTGGAGTAGCACGTAATCCATTGAGCACTGCTCAAGGACCGGAGCAGTTGCTGCATGCCATGCGTGGCATAGTCGGCCAAGGTCCGAGGCACCAAGGGCGAGGCCCCGGCGATGCATGTGGAGTGGCACGTAATCCACTGACCTCTGCTCATATTTTAAAGTGCTACGTGTTGCATGGTCGGACGTGGTCCGAGGCAGTGGGCAAGGTCCTTCAGATGAGCGTAGAGTGGCACGTTATCAACTGGATGGAGACTGCAGAACTAGCAGGTCTTATTCGGATATTGCTTGTAACATCAGGGCTCTGGTGGAGCAGGAGGTGGGGCTGACAGTGGACGACGCTTAGTACGTGTTCACACTGGTCTCGCCGAGACGTACAACCTCTGTGATAGCGACGTCGTATGCTAGCTGTAAGACGCCGGGCGTCAACCCTGACCCAGGATTTGTCTACCGTAGACGATCGCGCACAGCTATACACCTTCGTCAACGATATGATGGGATAGAAAGACAACGACGACACCCTCGAGGCTATTTCCGCGGTGGATGCTCTTCATGAGCTGGACGGGATGTCTTTCGAAGAGTTCGGCGGTGCCTTTAAGACAGGCGATTTAGCCGAAGCGGTCATTATACGACCGGACAAAGAGACCAACTCTCTTCGCTTCTGGATGAAGCTGTCCTGGTGGACACGAAGAGAATGCTGGACGCACGAGGTGCATCTTCGATCCTGAAAAATTGCTCGATCCGTACGATCTTTTGGTAAAAGAATTTCAGGACGTCGTCTATAAAGACCCGCCGTCGGTCCTACCTCCGGTCCGAGGTGTGCAGCATGACATTGACCTGGTTCCGGGAACCAAGTACTGCGTAACACGCCAATGACCCCTGTTCAAGGAGCAATGCGATGTCATTGACACATTCTTCCATGCGGCACACAAGACAGAAATGGTGTGTGAGAGCAAGTCTCTCTATTCAACACCCACGTTTTGTGTCTGGAAACCGAACGGCAAGTGGCGTACTGTTCTTGTTTAGAATAAGCTCAACGCTGCCACCATTCCGGCACAGACGCCGATTCTTAGAAAGGATGTTTTCCAGAACATCATAGTTGCATGTAAAAAGTACAGTGCACTCGACTGAGTTGATGAGTATTATCAATTGCTCATGGGAGCAAGTGATATTCCGCTGACACCGATGGGTATTCCGAGCGGGATGCTCTGGGAGTGGCCCAAGGGCTGTCAAATACACCAGCACATATATTAAATTGTCTTGTTACGCAGTTGTTCAGCCCCCACCCGGGGTATGCACAGACATAATTCGACGACATCGTCGTCCACAGTTGTGCGGAGCACGGAGAATGAAAAAGAGAACCACACCATCCATTTAAGCGCGGTGTTCGAGTGCACGCGCAAAAATATCGATTATGCTAATCCCGATAACTGCATCTTTGGCACAGAGGAAAACTTCTTCTTAGGGTGCTTCGTCGCGAAGCGTGGCCTTCGAGCGGGTCCCGCTAAGGTCAAGGCCTTTATGGACTGGCCGGTTCTAATAAACTAAATGGATTTGCGCAAGTGGCTTGGCCTCACCAACCACTTGCACAAATACAGCGAGAACTACGCAGAAATGACACAGCCATTGTCGAAACTTATTAATAAGGATGTGGAATGGGTATGGGACACCGAGCATCGGAAGGTTTTTGACGGGGTCAAAGTCAGCCTCCCTCATGCACGAATACCGGCGTTGCCAGAACCTTATCGTCCTTTCAGTGTCGTCTGTGACTTTTTGGACCTTGCAATCGGCTGTGTAGTACTGCAAGTAGACGCCGACTAGCTTAAGGCTGCGGAGAAGAGCTACTGGGACCACGACAAGGAATTCTTGCGATGAAAAATGCTCTTGTCAAGTAAAGGATGAACTGTTTGGCTCAATGCCGTATGCGAAGTACACAGATTATGCGTCACTACGTACTGCGACTCAGTCGCCTGAACTCTCGCAGAGGAGAGCCAGTTGGCTCTCAATCTTTGCAAAATATAATTTTGAGGTGAAGTATAAGTCAGGAAAGCAGAACAACTAAGCTGATGCGTTCACGCAGACCGGATTATGAGCCTGTTCATGTCACGACGGTGACGTCGTCAGTGACAGATTTGATCCGCGCCACTTACGCGGGTGATGATATGTGTGTAGCGCCGCTTAGAGCTCTTGGGTGAGTGGAGTTTGGAGACTCGCACAAGGCGTTTTCGCCGCGACTGCGCGCACGGCTGCACCGATAATCATCGAAAAACGGATTGCTCTATCATAGCACCGACTTGACGGATACGCCACGAATTGTGGTTCTTAACTATGAGGATCTGAAGCACCGTATTTTCTATGAGACCCACGACAGACCGCGCAGTGGTCATCTCAGTTGTAAAAGGACCTACAGCTCTGCGAGTTACCATTACTGGTGGCACAAGCTGTACAAATGGACGAGCACCTATGTGCGCACGAGTGAGACGTGTCAAAGGGTGGACCCTTCGCCGAATGTGGCGGCGCGCTGGCCAGTTTGGCGGTACCCCCCGGATGTCGGCATTCCATGGAGTATGGACTTTGTGTTTGGCCTGCAGAAAGACTCGGCGGGCAACACGCTGTCGTGGTCTTCGTCG